GTATCTTCAGCTGTGCAACGAGGATCCGCGGGTTTTCCCATCTCCCGATCGGATCGACCGACAGCACCAGGACTGCAATATGCAGATTGCCTATATGACAACGCCATCCAATTTGTTCCATGTCATGCGCAGACAGATGAATCGGCAATTCCGAAAACGTGAGTCCAGTCTCTCCATCTTTTTATTTACTTTCTTTCTTGCAGTACGTAAATCCAAGCTAACCGCAACCGCAACCTCCAGCCCTAATAATCTTCTTCTCCAAATCCCTCCTCCGCCACCCCCTTTGCCGCTCCCCCCTCTCCTCCTTCATCGGCGACTCGCACTTCCAATGGATAATCCCAGACCCAGACCACGCAACCGGCGCCATAAACGCTCCCAAGTCCATTGAGCGCGTAATCCTCTGCTCAGGCCAAGTGTATGCAGCCCTCCACAAGCACCGCGCCGCCAACGACAGCCTCAAGAATACCGCCATAACCCGCATCGAGCAGATGCACCCGTTCCCCTGGCAGATGCTCAAGGAGAATCTGGACGGGTATCCCAATGCAAAAAATATCGTGTGGTGCCAGGAGGAGCCGCTGAATGCGGGGGCGTGGAGTTATATGCAGCCGAGGATTGAGACGTTGTTGAATGAGACGAAGCATCATAATCGGAGACATGTGTTGTATGCGGGTAGGAATCCGAGTGCGAGTGTTGCGACGGGGAATAAGGGGAGTCATCTTAAGGAGGAGGAGGAATTGTTGGCGGATGCGTTTGAGGTAAGGCAGGAGAGGTTGAAGGGGGAGTAGATTGGCCGGGGTGTTTATTTTGACCATTTTTTCCTGTTGTTGAGTGAGATGCATGGGATGATTGCGTTTGGTAGTTTTCTTTTTCTCGTGGATATATTGAGTTTTCAGTTTTCAGTTTTCTCTTTTTCTCCTGTTTGTGATTTTAATATGCATTGTATATTTTTTTTAAGTTTTTTTTTTTTTTTTTTTTTTTTCCTCTTACGGTCGGACTTTAGCATAGTTATGTTTCCTTTCATATCATCTATCTTGTTTCTAGTTCATTAATGCTGGCTGGCTTCTGCACGGAATGAACGGTATCCTATGACAGCATCAACAACATCGTTGATTTGTTGATGGACGCAAGAAATCCCTTGCTTGGGGGAAGAAGGCCAGCCATTCCTTGCTATGCTATGGCTTGTTTTTACTTTACTTTTCATGTCTTGTTGTTTAGGGATATTGCTTGTTTATCAGAAAAGGTTAGGGTTTTTCTTTAGTATATATTATATTTTCAAGTCTATTTTCAATACCTTCTTTCTTCTGTTTATGTATTCTGGTGGTTGTCAAACAACGCAAACATCCCAATACCATCGCTGTTGCCAAGGTGCAAGATTTGACTATTCCAAATAGGCTTAGCCTGTAATTCGCGCTCCAATATCGTGGAAAGCGCTTCCCAGGTCGCGCTAAACTTTTTAGGGCTCGCACCTACCCAAATGGATGCGGCTTGTTCGGCATCCACTTCAACTTTCAATTTCAACTTCACTTCAACTTCACTTCAACTTCACTTCTCCCTTCTGACACTAATGCCACCCCTTTGTCATTCCCTTTTATTCCCGGAAAACCGACAGACACTCACTCACTCCTCTGCTCTGTATCCTGACTGCTCCACAGCCCAGCTTATCTCCCGCTGCTGGGCGCGGAGGAACAGAGAACCCACCAATCCCTTTGCCTTGAATCCCCTCTCCATCTTAGATACACCCCGTAAATTACACAACACGGTCGAATATTAATGGCTACCGCTCCTCTCCATTCCGGCGCTGTCCACACCACCGCTATCACCAGTACCAGCAACCCAACAGTCCGCCAATCCGCCCGCCAAACCCGCACAAACCCCAGCCGCACCTCCAAAACTGCTAGCCGCTCCACTTTGGCCGGTCTGGGTTTCCACGGCAGCAGTGCATACGGTTTTGGCTCAGGTATTGGTAGTACTGGCGCTGGTGGTGGTCCGGATTCAGCTAGCGCTCACAATGTTCCCCACGGCCTCTACCCGGCCATCACTCATTTTACCGACGCCATAACAGCGCTGCCCAAGGAGTTCCGACGGCATGCGTCATTGCTGAAGGAGGTGGATGGGAAGGCGTGGGCGCTTGAAGAAACACTGGCGAAACAGCTTGATGCGGCTACGGCGTCGACGCCGTATGCGAAGTTGATGCAAACGGGTGTTCCGGTAAGTATTGGCCTTTTATGGTTGGATTCAAGACTTGCACATGTGTGCGGGAGGGAGGCATTATGAGTATTGGTAATATGTAATGACCATTTTTGTTGCTTGGTTGTAGGCGAAGGAACCGATCAACTATGACTCTCCCGAGTCTCTTGCGCGCAGGAAGATTTTCTTTGAACTTCGCTCAACTCTCTCCGATCTTATGATTACCACCGACGAAAAAAACCATGTCCTCTGGAATGCAAATAACGAACTTGAGAAGCAGATTACGCGTATCGAAACGACTTTCCCCTATGTTGAGGGTGAAATTAGTGAAGAGGCGCGGTTGGGCAGTCTTACCCACTGGGCCTACTCGAACAAAACTGCTGTCAAAGCTACGGGGAATACATCTGAGCGTCCCCGGCGCGAAACTGTTTCTACCCGTGATCAGAATCTTACGGTTGACGGCGAGACTAGAAGAGAAGGCGTCTCTCGGAAGCATCGCCGCAATCAACCCGATGCAGATGGCGAGGATGGACGGATTCCTTTGCGAAAGGGTACAGGTGGGAAAGGCAGGGGTGGGGAAACACCGGCCAGTGGAAATACCGCCATTGGCGTGGTTGGTGCGGTTGCCGGCTCCTCTGCGGCTCCTGCAAAACGGAGAAGAGTCGAAAAGCCGCCACTCACCTCCACGGCAATAGCTACGGCAATGGAGCGATCGGTTAATGCGACAACAAACATAGGCACTGGGCGAGGTGTTCCGAAAGATGTTTCTGCTGCTGATGTTGTGAAAAAGAGGATACGAGCACCTAACGCTAATCCTTCTGCGAGGAAAAGGTATGTTACGAATCCGTTTTCAAAATGGGCCGTTGGAACAACGGCCGTTTGGGGGCTCTAGATCCCAATTCGATCCTAATGTGATGGAACAGAGCAAACACAGCAGCGTCTACAACCTCTTTACCTGCCCTTGTCCCTTCATCCGTTGTCACCTCCGTCTCTGGTACGAAGGCCTCCAGTCCTGCTCCTAACACAATCTCCCGTCCCGCATCCTCCAGAGCACAGCAAGGCGCTACCCAGGCGACCAATGGCCGTCAGAGACCTTCATCCTCCACATCGAACCGGGCATCCAATTCAAGTACGTTACCTGGACCTGTACCTGGATCTACCACCCACCTGGAGGTCTCTAACCGGGTTATTCCACTCGCAGAAAAACCTACATCTTCGGAACCCAAACTCCTCTCTTCTGCCCACAAGGAGCTTGCTAGTGCGAAACCTGACCACCCTCCTTCCTCCACTACAACTGGATTTAATGATGATAATAGAGTTGGTCTTTCTACTTCTACTACCTCAAGGCCGATGGAACCAGTCCCAAAGAGAGAAGAAGCCGGCCCCAACAATATTACCAACAACAATAACTCGACCAAACTAGATATAGCTGCTGCCACTGAAGGCCCATCCGCTCCACAACAGCCAAAAAGCCGTTCCTCCAAAAACTCTACCCCAGTCGTCTCCACCTTTGCCGAATCAGCCCAACAACTACCGCTACAACGAACCACGAGGCCCCGCGGTGGCACGTCAACAACGACAACAACCACAGATGGAGTACCAGGCACCACCACCAGCTCCAGCTCCACTACGACTAAACGGTCACATAAAAAGGGCGCTGGACTCACAGCCGCTGCGCAGCAACTTATCGCTGCTGCAGCGGCGACAGAAGATGAGGATTCCTCGAGACAAGGCGACGATGAGGAGGATGAAACAGAACCGAGGTATTGCTATTGTAACCAGGTTAGTTTTGGGGAGATGGTTGCGTGTGATAATGAGACTTGTCCGAGGGAGTGGTTTCACTTGTCGTGTGTGGGATTGTCAAGGGCGCCGTTGAAGAGTTGTGAGTTGTTTTTCCCCTTGTTTCTTTTCTCTCTTTGTTCCCTTTCTGGATTGTTGCTAATTGGTGTTGTTTTGCCCCGTGGTTAGCCAAGTGGTATTGTAACGAGTGTAAGGATAGTAGTCAGCGGAAAGGGAAATCGGGGAATGGAAAGTAAAGACTGGATGGCCCGTCTTGATCTCTCGGTAATTTTCTCAGGAGGGAGCTTATTAACTGCGAAATATCTTGAATTGGTTGGTATGTTTCTATCTATTTCTCTATTCATATACCCTGCAACTAGATAGTGCAATCGAGCAGCACGACGCACGCGACTTTTGACTACCCTTTCTCTGTGTTTTAACACTTTCTTTACCTATTTACACCTCTATCATCTCACGAATGTCATGACAGTGTTGGGATTCTATGGGGGGTTGGACGGAGTTAGGCTAGAGGGACTTATTTTAGTACTTGCTTTTGATTTTATTTTCACTCCATCCCATTGGGTATTTTGTGCCCCCGTCTAGGGACTCTGCTGCGCTCATTTTTGGATAATGTATTTTACTTTAATAGACTCCTTTTTTGGTAGCTGTTGCATTGAGAGATGTGTTGTATTTAGGCTTGCATTCGCTGGTGGGATTGAGAAAGAGGTCTTGTAATTTTGTTCTATGTAGTCCATTTTCCCAGCTCGGGTGCATGGTCATGATAGATGTGCGATTGAATTTTAATGTAAATGAGCCAATGCAGGAGATATGAAATAAGTCTATTTGTTCTCAAGGAAATCCATATGCATATAAAAGTATCTAGACCAAAAGAAATGTATGTTACTGCTAAGATCAAAAAGTAGCTGTGGAAATAAAAGGCAAAATGCATCATCATCTTTATATGATTATGCCGTTGCATCTCATCTATCCCCAGAAATGCGAGCAAACAAAAACAACAAGCAAAAAAGCAGGAACTAAAAGCTCCCCGTAAACCGATCCAATATCTGTCCCGCCAACGGCCTCCGCTGCTGCTGCTGCTGCTGCCTCCCATCTCCGCCCTCGCCACCTCTACCACTACCACGTATAGTCCCGCTCGCTCCCGCTCCTGCCGCCGCAGCCCTCGACTCCCCTTCCAGCCTCCTCCTCAACCCCTCAAACCCCTCCGCATCCCCCCCACTCCGCCCCGTCACCCTCCGCAGTCCACTCCACGGCCTCCACGCAACACCAGCTCCAGCACCGGCCCCAGCAGCGCCACCGCCTCCGCGTCCCCGTGCTGAATCCGCCGACAGATCACCATATGCCGAGCCTGGGACTCTCCATGCAGCGGCGCGGCCGGGTAATATCTCTGAGCGCCATGCGTAGCCAACGACCCAACCGGTGGCGGCAGCGAGGAGAGTGTGTGGGAATTGGGAGAGGGCGAGCTGCGAAGCGAGGAGGTAGGTTGTTGATTTGTCGCTGAGGGTTACTGTTGGGGTTGTTGTTGTTGTTGACGTTGATGGTGGGGTGGAGGACGACGAGGAGGGGTTCGGAGAGGGAGGGATAGATGTGCTGGTGGAGATGCGGTATTTGTATGCGTGTGGGATTGCGGCGTAGAATTGGGCTAGGAGGGCGAAGAGGATGGCGGTGGGGCCGGCGGGGAGGTAGTTTAGGGTGTTTAGGGAGAGGGGGCGGAGGAGGAGGGCGAGGAGGAGGGGTGGGAGGAGGGTTGTGTACGGGAGCGTGGTTAGGAGAAAGCTCTGAAGTGTTAGGGGTCGCAAGTTAGTATGTGGATTGTACGGTTTGGTGGGGGTGGGTTTTGTTAGAGACGGGTGAAGAAAGGGGTTGGGTTGACATACTCCGAATTTCCTGGATCCCCACAGCCGCTCAATTACACGCAGGTGATAGAGGAGCATAGCTGCGAAGAGCACTTCTGTCGAATTCGTGTAGCATAGCTAGGGAATATGCACAGTCAGCAGCTATCTTGTCTTGTGTCTCGAACAAAAAGACGCCATTAAATTTCCCCTTCCCTGGAATCAAAAAGTAGAATCCAAAACAAGCTTGCTTACCTGCCAAACCCCAAGTCTCCATATTTGCCAGTATGTCCATAAATGCGGCACGACCTGTAAATAAAACAAGTACTTTACATCTGCTACGCTAGCAGTTATCGACGATGCAATTATGAAGATGAGCGCATACTTAGATATAGGCGCATTAGTGAAACCTGAGCTAATCATGGCTTCGATTCTGTTCAAACAACGAAAAGACCGCCGCGGAGTGAGGAGGAGTAGGCGGAATGAAAGATCGGGTGTGTATATTGAAAAGGCTTTAATTTATCGTTGCTGTATGTTCTCTTTAGATGACGGCTTTCTCTTTACTGTTTTGCTTTCCTTTCCGTGTGGCTATCGTCGTTGCTGTCACGGACACGGATAGGAGAATGTGGAGGTGAGCCGTGAAGTTGTCGCCGTGGCTTCCGTTAGGTCTTGTTTCCTCACAGCGTGTTCAACTACAAGCCCCGTATGTGTTTCCATGCAACTGACAGGCCATTTCAGAGCACAGGAGGTTGTTAGAACCCGAGAAGGGAATCTCTAACTGGCGTTTCCGGTGGATTGTGGTTGGTTGAGAACTTGACTGCGGCGGTTGCATGAAGTGACGTCCAAGATGCGGCTAAAAGTACACATGGCCAATTAGCGATTGGCTTCCCGAAACTCGGCATGCCGAAACATACCACTATTAGTTATTAAAAAGTCCGGAGTATTCAATCGAGTAAACATATAGCACAGAATATTTACTTCACCCCGCCTACTTAAGATCATGTAGACTTTGAAAATAGGTTTCAACAGTTCTCTCTTACCTGGGTTTAGGTGTTTTTTTTTTTTTTTTTTTTTTTTTTTGTGGCGGTGGTAGTGGTTTTTGCTGCGGCTAGCTACAATTCAGATTCCCTGAAACATCATAAGAAACGCAAAATCTTCAACAACTCCTCCACACAGTATATGGGATAAGAAAGACCACTACATAACACAATTTGCCCAAGCAAAGAGCAACATCAGAAAACTGAACCAAGGAAAGTAAATGAAAGACAGAATGGGAAGGTTAGAGAAGGAACATAGTGAAGTTTCAATGTTTTGAAGGGAGGATGAAACTGCATGGCTTTTGACATATTTGCCAGAGGATTTCCAAGAAAAATCAAAATGATAAGTAAGCAGGAAGGAACAGAATTTTCAAACTTCATCATCCATCTGCTGGTAGAACTGCCTCGCAATAGCCTGAATGCTCTGGTTCATATCCGCATTCACAGGACTAGGGCTGGCTGTCCTGGCTATCGAGCTACCGCTGACACTGGTAGTATTATTCCCCTTTTGACGGCCCCGACCAAAAGTCTGACTCTGGGTATGCTGAACATGGACCTGTGATTCCCGCTGTGGCTGCTGTTGGCGTTGCTGTACCACTTTCTGTTTTGTCAAGTCGACGGATCGCTGGTTCGCACGACGCCAACGCTCAGGGGCTAGGTCTGGGTTTTTCAAGTAGCAGTCAGTTACTACGTGACCTCGACGAAAGCAGAATTCGCACTTGGCCACTACTTGCTGTATGACTTGTTCTTCCTTTCGACTGCTGGTGGTGGTGGTGGTGGTGTTGTTGTTATTCAGATTAGACGATTGGGATTTCCTCTCCTTGTTTTTCTTCGAGGAGGATCTTGTGTTCACAATATTATCGTTGCTAACAGTGCTGCTGACGCTAGCGCTGGTGATGTTACCACTACCGTTCCCAGTTGACGCAGACGGGGTTAACGGCGCTGTGGCGGAAGGGGGGTGTGTTCTATTATCACTGTTCGAAATAGAAGTGATAACGACGTTCCGTTCTGGTGGTAGGCATGCAACCAGTTCATCGATCAGCGTATCGATATCCAGTATCTGCGGCATGGACTTGGGCATCTCTTCGTGTTTCAGCGCAATGTTTTCATGAATGGTATTTCGGGAACCACTTGAAACATTCTCATATAAAATATCATAAAGCAACCAGCCAGGGACAGGGAAGCCAAGCTTCTCTAGCTTCCTTCTCGCCTCCTGAAATCTCTTGATATATTCCCTATCACTAGATTTCTGGGACGAGTACAGGCTGTGAAAAATGGCGCGGCGCTCTTCCTCCAGTGGGCGCCGGAAACTAGTTTCCAGCTGGTTCCAAAGCAGATACGCGGAGTGTTTCTTTGGCTGTGTGACGGACTCCATGGCCTGAGAGCCTATCGAGTCCCATATTAAATTATATAGCCAGTCGTTCTGCTGTTCCCAAAGGTATGTATTTGCATCGGTGAATGGGGAAATCTTTTGCCCCTCCTCAATGACGTGGGCGCATTCGGTGGCCTCAGCAATGGATAGGATCGATTCGCGCCATACAGAGTAATTGCTTTTACCATATAGGCGGTGCGAGAAGGGGACATTTTTCGTCAGGCGGAGGAATGCGATTATCTTCTTACCGACGACGGCCTCCAGGTCAGGTTCTTCGGCTTCAGCGCTGCCAGTGCTTTCCTGGCAGTCTCCATTGGAGCTGTCAGGTAACTCTTCAACAACATCTCCAACCCCAGTCTCATTCGCACCTCCATTCCCATTCAAGCTTCTGATCGACTTCAGCTCCTGTTTCAATTGTTCAATCTCCAGCGAGAGGCCCAGCGTTAATTTCTCGAACTCAAGCCGGTGTGCAGGACGGATTCCCATCATATCCTGATCGACCTCTCCCTCAGGAGGGGGACCGATAGTCACAATATCCTCACTGTCCTTGGTGTAGTCGTGCGGGATGAAACATGCACTCTCGGCGGCGGGAAGGGACATATTGACAATATTCGGTTGGAAGACGGCCAGCTGTTGTGGTGAAAAGGCCTCTGCGGATGCGTTCAGCGCAGACGTACGTTCGGATGCGTTTCTGGACGAACTCCTGCTGGGCATTGTTTTGGTTTTTGCTTCGCTGTCTCTGCTTTCCATCTCGTCGCGTGGCTGGGGATCAGTCAATATGTAGAAAGTATATAGGGAAAACAGGTAGAATAGTACCTATAGAGTTCAGTTCACCCTAAAGAAAAGGTTAAACAAGCGGATGGATAGGCAAGATAGATATCGGCTCGGTGCGGAGAGAGGGTTATCTCGCAAATCAATCGCAACTTTTTCTCACTCAACCAAAAATTGAAGATAATCAAGTAAATAACCTTAAATAAGTGCCACTTAAAGAAAAAAAAAAAAAAAAAAAAATTTATCCTTTGACGCAGGACACACACGGAAGTCCAAGTCCCAAGCTAGTACAGCAAGGAAAATACAATGAGAGTCCGAGGGAGAGAAGAGAGGAAGCCAGATGCAGACTTGCGACTTAACCAAACGAAGCTCCCATATAAGGTTCCTGTTTTCTTTTCCGTTTCCCTTCTATTTCATTTCACGCATTAGACATGGAAACGAAACTGGCTGATTGAGGGTTGCCTTGTGAGTTTCCCACGCCCGCCTATTCACAGAGGACGAAAAGAGGGTCCCAGAACGCAACTTGGTTAATACTTTCCTTTCTTTTTCTATGTGTCGTCTGATCCTCGCTGAGTCTCGCTGCTTGGCAGCGGGTAGATTACAGCTGGTTCCAAGGCTGGTGGTTGGAAAGTTTCCTCACTCGGCCAAGACTACAGCAAAGATAGGGTTAAGCCCTAAGTAAAGGCAGAGCCGTGGATTACGCTGCGGGGGAGCAGAGCGTAACACGTCGGAGCGTTCTGTCGGGTTAGAGAGGAAGAAAAAGATGAAGAGCAGATATGAGAAGACCTTTTAATAAGGATATATCTCTTTCATTTAATTTATGGGTTTTTATAGCCACTTCAATTCATTTCATAACTGCGTTCGTTAACCAGAACTACATGCAAGAATATGAAAGGAAGCCTCAAGATAATAATAATAATCACAGTAATAGTAATAGTTAATAAAAAAAAATAAGCAAAGTACGCTCCGCAGCTTGGCAGCGGGGTCGACGCAATGCCCTCAGCAACATTTGATGTAGTCGACATGGGGCGTTTGTTGTAATGGCTACAGCTGCGGGGGATGTGAGAAACTAGGAGCCCGCGGAGCAGATGACGCGGAAGTATTTCAAACCCTTTACCGCTGAGAAAACGAGAAAAATATGGTTATCAGCCATGGCTTCCAATGATAACAAAAACAATCCCAAAAAAAATTAAAAAAAAATTAAAAATAAAAAAAAATAAAAATAAGAAGAAAATATTATTTCATGGGCAAATCACCCATCCCATCCTGTCCCTGAACCTGCTGCGCCAACGCCTTCCCGTACTCTTCCAACGCCTTCCCCAACGCCTTCAGAGTCGGCTCCATAAGCGCATTAACCATCTTCTCCCCTCCCTCCACCCGCTTCAAGTTTGGCCGGATATTCTTCCCCGTCGACGCCCTGACTTCCCTAGCATGCTGCTTCAACCTCTCAATCTCCGTTTGGCGCTCCTTCTCCGCCTCATCGGCCACAGCTTTGATACGGTCCATGGCACGATTTAACGATTCAACTAGCGACACGATTTCACCTGCCCGCTCCGGATTTCCCGATAAAAAGGCCTGCCAGAATTGATGGAGGAATTCGGTTGTGGTGGCGTGCGTGAGGGTTAGGCGGTCGAAGATTGCGGAGGGGAGGCCGCAGGTTTCGGGAGAGGTGGTGGAGGCGGGGGAGAATTGGGATTTGCGGTCGCGGATCGCAGCAAAGATTTCAGAGGAGGCGGCGGCAAGTGCAGATTTGGAGCCAACTTTCTCAACTTGGGGCTTTGTATTTTGTTGGTTGCGGGCATTATTATCATCATCCTCGTCGCTGTCGGTTTCTTCGGGCTCGACGATACGGTCAAGTTGGACCCCTCCGCGCTTATTGGGTGGGAAGACGGTGTCAAGGTCATCTTGTAGCCTCCGTAAAATTTCGCGAGGATCTTGTTGGGCAACGGCTTGTGTATCTCCGTCCTCCTTTGGATTGGTCCCAACGAAGAAACGGCTCTGGTCGCGCACATTTAGTGTTATCCGTTTTAGTTCCTCTTCCACACGCAAATCACGCAGCTGTAATTCGTTATACGTCTCTTCGTTCATTCCAATCGGGGCAGACGGGTCAGCATCGATTGGCGTGACATTCGCCATGATCTTCTCACTTAGCGAGTTCAACGTCCGAATAATTGGCACATTATCCATGGCAGCAGGCCTCATATCGAAATTCGGCCTATTCCCCATCCTCTGACTAACATCCACCTCATTCCCCTCAAGATCGATCATATGCGGCACATGCGCTGTCCACGAGTGCCCCGCATACTCATCGACCTTGAGATACTTATCTAAAATGGGATCACTTGCATCTGCATCCGTCACCCGCTCTCCACGTAGCTTCTTGAATAACTTGGTTTGAAAAAACCGTGACCAAAACTGCTGCTCGGTCAGCTTGGGGACGTTCTCATCATACGCCTTCTTCACCAACGGATGCTGGCTAAATATCAACTGGATCTGCTCCTTGCTGATATTCAGCTTGGTCACATTGTCCTCCACCCGCGGCTTCAGCGTTGAGAGCACATTGTATGACCCGCGCGTCTGCGTCTTCTCAATCGCATGAGCCCGTAGCAGATGCACCCTTGTTGACCAAAACTGCGACACGAACTGCGCGCTAGTGACCGCCTCAGCCTTAGTGCGAAGCGTCTCCATAAACACCTTCTGCAGCGCCGGATTCGCCTTTAGGAGTGACTGCTGAAGCTCTGCGTCCGCTATTAACCGGCTATCATCGTCCCACGGCGGTTTCCCCGACGCTGATGCCAGCGCGTTCGCAATTGCCATCGCGGCTGGAGCGCTCTCTTTCGTAGGAACCTGTCCCGTCTTCACAGCTTGTATTGAAGCGCTAAGCGCATCTTTGATCGCATCTGCTTCAGCACGGGCGTTAGGTCCGGACATAAAGGAGAAGATATATTGTTCCGTGGCTCCTGGGGGAGGATTGTTGGGGCCGCCATTGGAGCCATCGTTGGAGGTTTGCGCGAAGATCTTAAGCATAACTTTTGGGCTTGTTGCCGGGGTTTGTTGGAGGTCTAGTGCGATCCAATTAAGCCATTCAACATCGGCACTTCACAAACATCTCCCCAGGAAGAATGGAAGAACATACGTGTAATATCCGCAACCTGAATCGTTACTGGTGATGCCCCGGAACCAGCCACCTCGGGGGTCCAAGTAATCGACTTCCCATCCGTCGCCATCGCCAACGAGCCATCTTTCTTCTTATATGTCACTACCTGGACCGGAACCGCCATTGTAGCCATTCCGTCTGTGTTTCCACTCTTCTTCCGGGATTGGAATTCGTAATTCGTAGGCTAATCGTAGATATAAGGTGGGGGCTGGGAGTAAGATATGGTCAGGTTTATGCTGAAGGTTCCTCAGGTCACCTCAAACCAAACACTCGAAAGTCACGAGCGGGATGATTTTCTAGGTATATATATTAAAAAAGAAAAAAAAAAAGTTCCTGCGCAGCGTTTCCAGTCATTGACCCGTGTCTCTCCTTTCCTTCATATATCGGCTAATGAGTATCATAAATAAAGTCGGTGTCGCATTGTTCGACGAGAAAAGCCTCCAACTAAGTAAAGTAACTAAGTCGTCGCGGGGTAGTGAAATTAGGAGGCGGGACAAAACTCCAGAGTTGTATGAAGGAGGGAAAACAGTTTTGGTCAACTGTGCTAAAATATATATTGGGTATATATCCTTTCAATGGTTTTAATTGCCAACCCCCACCCTCCGTCAGTCCTGCAATTCACCAGTCCTCCAAGGTCCAACACACGCTCCAGCCGTTTTCCTTCTCTCAGTCCGTTCAGATCCGTCCACGCGCACATTCCAGCAACTAAGAGTAATTTCTATATCAGCCCTCCCGGTTACTTATGCGCCTCGTTATTTCCTTTGCAGCTGCGTAGCTTCGCGCGGGGGTGTTACGAGAAACGGTCAAATTTTTTTTCTTCCGTTCTCTGCTTGGACGTTAGGAATAGGCGTGGTTGGAAAAGAGGTTTTCGGGACAGGTTCAGCGGATGCTGATCTAATTCCAGGATGACATAAAAAATTGGCTAAATAGATGATAGAAGTGTTGAAGCAAATATGTTGTTATTTTTCGTACGTTGCGGTAGTTTCATGACTTGACAGCTCAACTTCAAAAGGGTGCAATGAAATATCACGTGCTAGACTGAAGGACCAACTTTCGCTTTGGGATCAGATGGAAACCTTGGGCTAAGTCGAACCCCGCCCGTTAAGTTGCCATACTGCGTCAACGGTCACGAGACCCTGCAAGGTGGTGATGTTCGTACTTGCCTGCTTTTTTATACGGGAAGGCTGCAGAGATTGTAGAAGGTCACGAGAACGACGCAGCTGACGATGCCTAGAGGGCGTCCCTTGTTCCCCCTAATCAGGTAGGGCGGTAACTATCTATCACATTCGGTAAGGAATAGGAGGAGCTTAGCTCTATATAGATAGTTATCTGACCTGCCGTTCAGGGCAATTCGTTCTCGATATATTTGAGTGGCTGGGAATACACCTACAATTCTCTATATAATCACTTGTGCCCTCAATTCTTAGTTGTAGGCAGGCATACACTCATCTGCATTCTTGACTAGTCAAGCCCACCCATTCAGCTTCTCTCATAACCAATCCTCATGACGTCGCTGTTGGACCCAGTCTCAGCACCGCCTCATTACAATCTGTGTAAATTTTTCATCTCGCAACTCAATGTAAGTTATCTTCACCACCTTCTTAAAATAAACTCTCAGTGTGAAATATCTATTCAAAGCTACTGAAGGATTGAAAAGAACTCTATTTTCTCCTTTTAAGATAGCTGCAAGGTTACAAACTTTTGTAGATCACTTTGTATAACTGATTAGCTAGTAGAATCAACTGCAATAGCTTATCAGCAGATATAAAGATTAAGCTCTAAACAAAAGAAAAGCCTAATTCTAAATACAGATATCAAAGCTTATCTTCTTTTACATTTATATTTATAAAAAATAAACTTTTATATTTGAAATATTAACTAATATGTTATTTCTTTATAAAAATTAAATTGTTAAAATTTTTAAAATATAATTTTAAAATTTTTTTATCATTTAAAAAATTTATAATATATAATTAAACTTAATTTAATTATTTAATAATTTATTAATAAAATATAAATTAAATATAAAATAGTTTAAAATATTTAAATATTAAATTATTAGTTAAATTAAAAAAATTTTAATTTATATAAAATTTTAGAAAATAAAAATTAATATAAATATTATTAATTTATTTATTATTTTTTTTAATAATTTTTAAAAATAAATATTTTTATATTATTTAATTTAAAATTAAAAAATTTAAATTAAATTTATACTAATTTTAAAAATAATTATATAAATTATTAAAATAAAATATATATATTTTTTTATTATTAAAACTTTTTATTAAATAAAATATAAAATAATTAAAAAATAATTAAATTAAATTTTTAAAAGTTTATTAAAATATTAAATATTTAATAAATATAATATTTAATTTTATTATTTTATATAAATTTATATATTTAATATAAGAAATTATTTATTATTTAAAAATTTTTATTATATATATATATAAAATTTTATAACAGTTAAAATTAAGTAAAATATTAAATTAAAATAAAAATCTTTTTATAATTATTAAAATTTTAATATTTAATAACTTACAATAATTTATAAATTTTTTAGTTATATAAAAATTTTCCATAGTTTAAAAGTTAAAAAAAAATAAATCAGATTCTAATAAAAAATTATATTAATATTGAAAATATCAAGCAGGTTTTTATAAAAAAAAAAAACACTTTAAAGGTTAGGTATTAGATTAAAAAGTTAAGAGGTTCAAGTCAAAAATGCTACTGCTGCAGTATTAAAAGTAAACCTAGAAACATATATATTAAAATGACAGGCTTATTAGAGTTCATGAAATTATTGAGCTTTTTGATGAAGGGGTCGAGTTCAGAGAGGAGGTGACTAGGGGAAAGTGATGACAAGCCTAGATTCCATCTTAGAACAGAGGAGCATAAACATTCTTTTGAAAAGAAGCTGAGATGAAAAGAGGTAAAATCCTCAGTTATTCCAGGCACACATATGTTCATATAATACTTGATAGTTTACATATGGATTCAAGACTCGACACTCAATCAATCAAATGCAAATTCAGAAAACTCAAAAAGAACTTATCAACAGGAAGAGACAGCCCATAGTCGCCTCTTTTTCAAACACACATACTTACTTCTCTTCCTTTTCTACTTTCTGCTTTCTGCTTTCTGCTTTAGCAATTTCCTCTTTTCCCAGATAACCGCCTGCATCACAAATTTCCACCGTCCCAACTCGCACACAAACCGTAGACTCCCTATATGCAAAGAAGAGCGGGGATAGTATGACGGCAAATATCACATTTGAATATTAAAAAAGGAGGAATTAAAGCCCAACACCAGCAAAGAAATAAATGAGATATGGCTAAAACTAGCAAAATGATGCAACGCTCAATGCCCCACGCTCAATGCTCAACGCTCAATGCTTAACGCTCAAGCAAAATGGTGTGCCACCAACGCTCAAGCGACGAAAATCAGTCAGGATAGGTATATGATGTAATCAAAGCAAGACCTCCAAAACGAAGCAGAAAGCAGAAACTGGACAAGAGAGGTATTTTCCCCGACTTAACACCGCAACTTTTCAAATTCGAAACAGAAAGGAATAAGAGGAGAGGACCGCTAGCTTAAAAAATACAGAAAGAAAAAAAAAAAAAAAAAAAAAAAAAAAAAAAAAAAAAAGGTAGTCAAATCAGTCACAGGATATATGGGTCATAAAACAATCATAAGAAGAAATCTCCCCAAACATCTCCCTCACTTCTTAAACATATAATGCCCATACAACCCCCCAACGTCCCCAACCGCAACCGGCACCTTCCTCATCCCCCACCACCTAGCCCCCATCTTCCACGACCTCCTCCCATCATCCGCATGCACCTTGCCGGCCCTCCCATCCGACTTCCCATTTGCGCCCGCCATCGGCTCGCGCACATACCACCCCCGCCGCCCCAGATCCCGCACCAACCAGCCGTTCCCATACTTGCTCGCGCGGCTCCGCTGGCGCAGCGGGGAGATGATTTTCTCGCTGAGCTCGATAACGTCGAGTGGGGAGCTGTGCGGGGTGACGAGGAGGCAGGCTTTCGGGTTGAAGAGGGCTGCTTGGTTTATGTGCGGGTTCTTTGTGAGGTCTAGGTAGCGGAGTTGGGAGGGGATCCATTGGCGGTGGATACGGGAAGTAGAGGTTTCTTCGGACTGGGTGGTTGTGCTGTTGCGGGAGTGGTGGTCTTGCTCGCTATTAGGCGATGGAGGCGGGGCAAAGAACAGGTTGATATCGCTGACGGTTAAGTTTGCGGAATTGAGACCTAGTTCCTCGACATACTTGGACAGCTCGACTAGGGCTGACATATTGCTTGATCTCACTTTGGCGCCGCCTAGGTTTACAGAGCGCAGGGATGGAATGAGAGTGAGGCTGGGTAGAAGCGCGTCGACATCCGCCTCGTCCAGGAGTTGGTGCCTAGCTGTATCAGTCATGACATTCAGGTAGATGAGCGAGTTCATCACAGCTGGGTGGGTGGTTAGGAATTCCACCACCTCCGGACCCGTGAGCTTGGTGCAGCGCGAAATATTCAGGTGGGTGATGCGGGCACTATGTGGGATGGACATCAGTGCGGAGTTCGTGATTTGAGTGTGACAGACGTCGAGATGGGTTAAGTTAACTAGACGTGGAAGGAGAGCCTCGAAGACGCGGGGGCTAAGGCCGCTGCATTCGTGCAGAGATATCCGACGGAGCATGGGAAGGGTTTCGGGAAAGTTTGGGTCCTCAGTCACGGCGCTCAGAAACCCGTCTGAGAAGGTGGCAGAGGAACAGCCGCAGAAATCAACAGCGCGGAGAGAAGGGGTTCTCGAGAGCAATTTCCGAATGACGTTCCCATTCACATCATCTTCCAGATGCTCTTGCAGCAGACACTCCTTCAGGTTCTTCAGAAGTTCTAGGCATTCAAGGAGAGTCTTGGATGTGAGGTTTTGAATCTCCGTATTCATCTGCTGTGTGCGTCCCAACCCAACAGAAGTAAAGTGAGAAAAGTCCAGCCGCCGGACAATGGTGCCCAGAGCGGGATATTGTCGGATGTGGCTAAGGGCCTTTGAGAAGATGACAGAGTGTGGGATGGTGATATTTCGATAGAGAACACTCAGTGTGGCGGAATGGAGCGTTCGAGACGTCAGCAGACAGGAAATGAGATCAACATTCCGTGGCGTGTAGCCATTAGGGGGGATATCAAGAGCCAGATACGAGATGATTTGATCTGGAGCAATCATTAGTTACATATCGTTTTCACAGGAATACCCGCATGAGGTCCTCAGAAAGGATATAGTTTCTAAAGAGTTTACCTAGTATCTCAGAAGGGAGCAATTCGATAGGAGCATTCCCCTTCTTTATAATAGATTTCTTAGGCTCCTCCAGAACAGCACAGATGCGATTGTTGATATCCTTATCCTCCCACGCAAAACCCCTCGACTTCGCATTCCCCAGTAAGCGCAGGTCACTGTAGCTCCTGCTCAGCCTCCGCCCGCCCAAGGGGATCTGCTTCCATCCCAGAAAGGCACCACACGGACAGCAGAATTCGAGGTGATCCGGGAGGGGGGCAAGGGTTCGAGACTGGACAGCCGTGTTGCCGGGATTTGATAAGTGTTCGCTGGGGGTATTTTCCTCGGTATCTACAAAGGATTGGGCGATTTCTGGAGGGTTATATGGTTAGATATATGCTTAGCATGGTAAAAAAAAAAAAAAAAAAAAAAAAAAAAAAAAAGGGGCATAGCGGAAGAAGAGAGGTAAAGAGCAAGTACCGGTGAAATCCTCTTTGATGGAGCCGAAGGAAGGGCGGCGGGAGCTGCCTGATTCAGTGGAAGGGGAAGGGGAGTTTTCGCGCGAGCGATTCTGGGGTTTGCCGGCCTGCTGGAAATAGTCCCGCCGCTGGTGCTGATGGTGGCCAGGGCAATTGGAGATTGGGGCAGCCCGGGAGCTCATTTCTCGTGGGGGCAAATTGACAAGATCTGGCGGCGGTAGAAGATGTTCTTGAATTGTTATTATGTCAGGATGGATATTATTTATTGCCTTGTGGGAACCACCGATATGGGAGTGAGATGGGTCTGTGGTCGGGAGAAAGAAAAGGGAGAGGGGAGGAGGAGAAAAGATTGAGATAAGATGAGAAAAGAAGCACCTGAAGGCGCAAAGATGGTAGAAATAGCAGAAACAGTCACAGCAGCTTTCGGAGGATTGTGGGGGAGGAAAACATATAATACATGGGCAAGACACACCGATTAGGGTTTAGATCGTTGGAGATGATCCCCCCTCCTCTTGGGGAAGTAAGGTTATGGGCGCCAGTACGGTCACAGTACGGTAACAGTACGGTAAACCCGGGCTTGTTTGCCAATGGCGGGCGGTCTGTCGTGCAGGAGGGTGGTCACGGAGACACTTCTCGTACCCGGGCCGTACCCGGGTAAGTAATGATTTTACAGGATGAGACGTATGTAACGCTGGTGAAATACGGGTGTGTAAAGAAAACTCGCTAGAGGGCAACTGGTCAAGTGGGAGGAGTTGCTGTTAGTCACAATTTCCCCTCAGCGGAACCGGAGGAACAGGGGGCGGAATATGCGGTCCCAAGAGGTGTTTTTTAGGCTGGTAAAGGGCTGGTAAAGGTCTGGTAAAGGTCTGGTATTGGCTGGCTGTTGGGCTGGATTGTTAGCCTGCTCCGGGGTGGCTTCGAAGGGGGCTTGGCTGCAGTCAATGTGATGCGAATGCGAGTGGGGGGGAGAAGAGAGGAGAGGCGGCCATCGCTTGTTAGGAGAGACAGATTATTTATTAGGTGTGAACGAAGGCATGGCAGAGATAGGGATACGAATGGGAATTGGAATGAAGCACACTGTTTGCAGGCTGTTAAGAATAAGATCGGTTGAGGAGTTATTAGGATTAATTAGGATTATGGTGGTGAGGAGATATTAATAATGATGGTGAAGGAGAGGTGGGTTGGACGGCGAAGAAAGGTAAAAAGCAGGAGAAAGGTGAAAGGAAGGCAAAACGGACGGTGCAATATTTAGTAACCAACTTAGATCCACAACTCTATTTATGAGTCTCTTCTTTGAGAGTCTGCTCCAGAGTAGCTAAGCTTCTGTTGATCCAAAGTTTGAACCCTTCCTACTTCGATCCTCTCTCCAGAATCAATTGTGTTGTGTATTTATTGGATACGCCTGTCTTCCACAGTTACAAATCTCCCCTCAGTTCCCCCTCCTCTTTCCCCTCCCCTTCCCAACCTCCCTCGCAAAACGGCCCCCCGGACTTCGGTGGCATGACTACTTGCCATGCTGACTACCTACTCCCAACCATCCATTCCATCGCACCCGGGACAGTTTGATATCTACCAAGCTCAAGCGGCAACTTGGGGTAAACAAAATATAGAGCCCAGTCGAGGCTTGGCCTGCTTGGCGTGCAGCTCGTCCTTTCAAGTTCTGCGGGGCGGCAGTGGAAGCTGTGGTTGAAGGGCAACATACGGTGAACGCAGCGTCCGCAGCAGAGGGTTAGACTCCCTACGAAGAGTTGTTATGTGGGGTATTGTACCGTGCTGTTAACGTAGGATGCACCAAGCTCGCTGCCTTTGTCGCCCGGTACAAGAGCAGCCCCTGCAACCTGGAGGCTTTTTGGCAACTCTGGCGGTGAGGGCCAGCCAGCAATCAGGTAACTCTGGGTCCCGTGGTATAACTACAGCGCTGTGGTTGAGACAAGAGATTACGGCGACTGCGGAGGTTGCAGGCTAACCAGTAGTAGCCGTGGTGCAACTGGGCAGAAATCGCAAGGCCGGCTTTCTTCCACCCTGCATTCTATGACATAATGGAAATGCCAAAAAAAATCCGTCAACTAATTACGGCGCGATGATGACAGGGGTGATTAATTTTGATGCAACATAAATCAACAAATTAACGGGAGGAGCGGGGGGAGGAGGGGGGAACAAAGAGCAGCAGGTCCATTCTCATCATCTACGATACCTTGGCTTTCTGACGCTGGAGGCAAAGCAGCCAAAAGCAAGCCAGCGAGGAGCAAGTAACGTACATAGTCTATCTCAGTTCTCTTTCCTCCCAGGCGTCCCATGACTTTTCGAAATATCGGCACTAACCATGAAATATCATCCCCAATAAATGAACCTCCAGTCTAAAGCCAACACAGCAACATCCCATGGATAGATAACCACACGCTCACTCCAACGGCCATGCAGGCAAGGATCAACACACACATGCCCATTTCCCGCCGAATTCCCCCGCGTCCCATTGGTGATTGGATTGTCCTTGTTTCAACCCAATGACGGTCTTTATAACCCCGGACAGAAAAAGAGCAACTAATTGTCCAATGGGGGATATAGGAAAAGGGATTGCAGGGTGGGGCAAGTCGAGGAGGTTGCGGGGCGGGGACCTTGGTTTTGAGAATGATAATCGATTTCAAAGGGGGATAGTTACACCCTCAAACCAACCGAATGATTTTGTTTCGGACCCACAGCTAACCAACCAATGACCATGACGATTCTTAAATTACTAGTGAGCAGTGATGACTACTTCCCCCAGCACCCGTCCCGGCTCGCCGGGTCTGGAACCATGGAATGTGGTTCAAGTTCAATTCAGTTACGGACTGTGAGTGCAAAAGAGCGAGTTGGTTGTGTATATTCTATAGGTTAGTTAAATGAGCTTCTCTACGGAGTTCTCTCACAATCCAAGCGAAGGAAGGATATAGAGTCAGCGTGAATGAATGAGCTAGGCCACAAGAGGCTAGCGTGTCCCAAATATGACTGGTGTAGCCCAGATGGGACTAGCGTGGAAAGGAACGAGCTTGCACTCTCACGTTCGGATGAAAAGAGCTAATATATATATATATAGAAAGTGTAACGGGGCGTGCTACCGAATAACGGCCCTAGCGCTTCCTTATAAACAAAAAGGACGAATTCGTTAGAAGGAGGAAGAAAAGAATATGAAAGAAAGGATAATTCGGTGAAGAGTTTTTGTTACGAAAGGTTAACTATCACCCAGGCGTTAGTTAGCCTATTACATCATCCCTCCTCTTCTGACGGTTTCATTCGGCGGATCATTCAGTAATGATTGGTGATTCCTCCGAATCAAGCGCGGCCGTTTGTCTTCCAGGCGGAAGCTGGTTCCCGCGTTGAGCGGTCATATCGGTACCCATTGAACCAGATATTCTCAGCAGCGTCCACATGTGTGATGGGTGTATAATTTGTTCAATCTTTAATTCTAGTTTCATCATCCTCTTTGATGATGCCAGGCAGCTGTCAGTTGAGAATCTTCTGTGAGAGGAACAGATCTTCAGCAGCTGATCAGAGCAGATTTATATGAAGAAACATTATGAATTCCAGAAGATATATCTAGTTGATAGTTATGACTGTCAACCACTCTGATAACTGTGTCCTTCACTGATGGTAGTCAAGTGTTTAGGAAGATCAATCTGTTTATATATTCTGAAGATCTAGTCAAACTTTATTTTCAAATTCATACTATGTGGTTGAACTTCAATGTATTTTTATTTGAATTTTATAATTTTATTGAGCAGTTGTCATGGAAGCTTCAGCTCACTTATAGATTTTATTAAAAATTATTTATAATCTTCTCTGCTGATTGTATTGAATTATGAATAATATTAATTTTTTTTTAAATATTCTATTGATGAAATTAAAAGTTTTTAAATTAAATATATAAAATAAAAAAATAAGTTTATTTTTATTATAATAGATTTATAGTTTTTAATAAAAAATTTATATATAAAACTAAATTATTTTAATTATTTATAATTATAAAACTTTTAAAGAATATTATTAATAATTTTAATTATTTATTTATAAATAATATTTTATCTTAAAAAATTAATAAATATAAATTTATATATTATTAATAAATTAAATTTTATAATTAAATATTAAAAAAAACTTATATATATTATAAAATAAATATTTAAAAAAAATATTTATAATTTATAATTATTAAATTATATAATTTTTTTATTAAAAAATAATTAAATATATTTTAAAAAATATAAATATTTATTTATTTATTTTATTAATTTAATTTTATAATTTATATTTTAATATAAAAGTACTTTTTTAATTACTTTAATATTAAATATATCAATAAAAGTTTAATATTAATTAGAAGATTTTTTTATACTTTCTTTGACTATTAAAATTTAAACTTTTTAATAACTTTATAAATAATAATTATACTGATAGAAAAGATATTAATATTCTTCTTATAATTTTAATAAAATAAAAAAAATAAAATTTTATTTAAAATTAAAAATTATATATATATATATATATATATAATATTTTATTATATTAATATTTAATTTTTTATATAATAAAATTTATATATTTTAAAATTATTAAATTTTTTAAGATTTTATAAAGTTTATAAAAAACTATATTTTATTCTTTATATTATTTAAACTTTATCTTTATATAAGATTTTATTATTTTTATATAATATTTTTATCTTTATCTAAATCTTTACCACTTTTATATAATTTTTTTTAATTATTTTAAAACTTTATTTAATATAATTTTTTTTAATAATTATTTTCTATTTTTTATATATATTAATTATCAATAGTTTTTAATAATTAATTTATATTTTTAATTATAATTTAAAATAAAAGTAATTTTTTAATTTATAATATTTTAATTTAATAAACTTTTTAAAATATAAAATATTATCTTTTATAATATATTTAAAATTTAGATATAATTATTTTAATTTTTATTTTAATAAATTAATTTTTAAATAAAAATATTTTATTTATTAATTAAATATATATATTTTTTAATATTAAATTATAATTTTTTTAATTAATTTTGAAGAGAAAATAAAAATTATATTTAAATAATAAATTTTAAATTTAAATATTATTTTATTTTATAATTTTATAATTTTATTATTTTTACTAATTTTTATAAAATTATATATATTAATAAAAAAATAATATTTAATATATTAAATTATAAAATATTTAAATTAATTATTTAATTATAATTATATAATTTAATTAATTATAAATTTTTAAATAATTAATATTAATATAAGAAGTTTAATTTATTAAATTAAATATAATTATTATTAATAATAATATAAATAAAATAATTTAGTTATAATAATCTTAAATTTTATATATTATAATTTAATAATTTTAAATATAAATTTTTATTTAATATATTAATTTTAAAAATATATAATTTAATAATAAAAATAATTTATAAAAATAATAATTTTTTTATTAATTTTTATTTAATTAATCTATTATTTTAACTTAATATATATATTTTATATATATATATTACTTTTAACTAATAAAAAAAATATATAAAATAAAATAATCTTTAAATTAATATTTATTAATAATATAAATTAAATAAAATTTTAATCTTAAAATTTATTTTTTATAAAAATTTTTATTTTAATTAATTATTAAAAATATTTTTAATTTTTTTATATAGAATTTAAAATAACTATATGTAAATTTTAATTAGAATATAAAAAAAATATTTTTTTTTAATATTTATTTAAAAAACTTTTACTTTAATTTTATTTTATATTATATAAATAATTTTTTATAGTATAATAAAGTAATATTTTATTATATTTTATAAAAAATAAAAATTTAATAAAAGATTTATAAAAATTATTAATTATTTAATATTATTATTAATTTTTATTATAATAATATTTTATTATAATTATTAAATAATAAAATAATATATACTTATAAATATAATTTTTTTTTAAAAAAAATACTTTATTGATTTTATTTAATTAATTTTATTAAATTAAATAAAATACTTTTATATTTTTATTTTTAAATAAAAATTTTTTATCAAAAAATATAATTAAATATTATTAAATATCATAATTAAACTTTAAATAATAACTTAAGAAAAAGCTACGGCTCTGTAAATGTAATATTATATCAATAATTATAGATACTTATTAAAAGCAACTGTTGACGTCTTAAAGTGATGAGATTTGCAATAGCTGTCAACTGTTAGTGATAGAAGCAGCTGTCATCTAAGAGAAGAGTCATATACTTATGAAAAATTGACTTCATTAAACAGCTTGATTAGGCTAGTTACTGCAGCAATTGCCTATTAACCTTCAAAGGTTAAAGGAAGCAGCAGATAATTCGCTCAGAGAGAGTCTTAAAGAAGTATAGCTGTAGTGATCTTCTTTTCAGATTCTTCTTTTTAGTGTGATCTGGTGAAAGAGTATAGATATTGTAGAATTTAGCAGTACAGGCGTTGAGCCAGCTGTAGTAGATTGCGAGTCAAAAAATATGAATTGAAAGCAGTCCTTCTGGGAGGACAGAGAGTCTCATAATGAATTTGATTATTATATTATATTCTGTATGATAATGAGAGCTTCTCTAACTCGGCAAAAATATATTTGCGGAAAGCTTCTGCTGATGGTACAAAATTTCAAGATGATTGATAGAATGAAAGCAAGCAAACATCACTAATAACTAGATGACTTCCCTTAGGTATAACTAGTTACTCCGTATTATCTCTGACTACGTAGTGAACTCCCAATCCCAACCATCCTTATTCTCTCCATTGCAGCAGTGGCAATTTACTCTCAAGACAGTTATTCCAGCTATTTGACCGGATGTCGTTGTAGAATAATCAGAAAGCTGGGAGGAGCCAAATGCGCACCCCAAATACACTAAATAGAGCTTCAATTCGTTGGATCTGGCCAGATTCGGTTGTCCCAAGTCTACATCTCATATAACTAAGACTGAAGACCAGAACATGGCTATGAAATGCTTCCCCAAGCCTCCTCGCCCTACCAAACGGAGAAGAGATGGATTTGTTAATGTTACCACTTCCAATTTTACGTCCAATAATCGTCGTCATCCTGGACAGTTCATGATTCAAACTGTCAGATCCCAAGGCCAGAAACCTAGTGCTCCAGTGTCGCAATCACGGCTATTTGCTCCCACCCATCACGACCCTCAACTCTCCCCAATAGATAAATATTTATGTTGTTTGCGCACTTACAAAGCCCGGTTCCATTTTTCAATGGACACACAGATGCAGATCTTGACGCTCTCTTACACTCCTACAGAGTTCTACCATTCCGGAAGGGCTGTGAAAATCTTCTATTAAATATGCTGCTACGTGCCAATTCCTAATATGCTGCTGTTACTACCAATATTTTAGTTCACTTGCCTTCAATTTGCCCCTATCATAGCAATGCAATTCTCCCAGTGTATTTTTTCCACCTCACATACCTCGCGACACACAAGTCATTGCAATAAGATCCATTTAGCGTTCTGGGCTCGGAGGATATCGTGGCAGCCAAGTATTGCATACAACCCTAGCAGAGTCATCAATATTGGATAGAGATATGTGTCATATACCCTCTTTCAGTCATCAACTGGTAAGCCAAAGAGTTGACAAAAGGCGACATTAATCCTTTTGAAAGGTTTTGGCGTTGTCCGTCCATCGATCCGCTCACTGAAGACGACGACCAAACCAATGGTCATGAAACATGGTCCATGTGTAAGTAGCATCAGGGCTCGAGATCAAGCATACGTCTACAGGCTCAATTCTAATGCTAAAATGCTAATGTTTGACTTTATCAGAGTGAAATGTTTCAGTGTGAGGGCTTGATCTTACATACATGCTCTGATAGTGCTTTCCAGCGCTGTTCCCTCCAGTGCCCACGGAGTCGATTTTTGAGTGGAGCCATTAGATATCGGGTGATTGGGCTCTGCCCTTATGGGCTGTCTGTGCTTTATGTTCGAGGGCACACGTTGCGAGTCGTCTCAAGACATGGGAGTTTAAGAGCGGCGCGATGTCCATTGTTTTTTTAAAGCGGTGCAGCGCTGTTTCTGAAGCGGCAAACGTCATCTTGGGAATAGGTACAGTATTAGTTCCTGTCCCCTTGCCAAATCTCCAACAAGCCCTAATGCCAATACGTATTGCAAATTTTCTGTATGTCTTTACTATACCTACCTTGAGGTTAAATTACCAGACAGGTTAAGGATTGTCCTGTTAGCACTGGGAACGCTTCATCCTGGCCTGTGAACTATTTGAACCCTCTCTCTGGCCTAGGGAACCGTTTAGCCTGGGATCCAGCGTATGAAAGGTGGAAGCCATGGATATCCTGGATTTAACTATCTATATCTGCAGCTAATGAGAGCTTTTGATGCCCAATTTTACCACAAACTCCTTTTCACTGCTTCGCCGTCACCGCCTACTCAACGATGGCCGAAACACCCTCACAATGTCATGCGGATATAACTTTCTCATTCTCTCTCCACCGAAGCTTGAACTCCAGGCCCAGCTCCTCACATACAGCGACTTGCACTGTTTCTAGCACGGTATCAAACACGCCAAAACTGGCCGGGCTGTCCTCATCGTTACCCTCACCCTGGAACACACCGGTCCGGACCAGGCAAGTGTTCCACCCATACATGTTCCCGCCAATAATGTCAGAGACCGGGTTGTCGCCAATCATGTAGAGATGTTTTCGGGAAGGGTATACTCGTTGTGGATCTCTTTCGTCTACGACTTCATGACCTCGTCGGCGTATTTGTGTGGCCAGCTCGGGCTTGCCGTAGACGACCTGCTCGAGATCACCGCCCGTTAGAGACTTGTACATAGTTTCGAGAGCAATGCGGAAGAGGCCCAGGGTTATCCGGGGCAGCCTGTGTTTGGCCTGGAAGATTATATCGCCCTGAGAGAAGTAGATGGGCATATGCATGGCAAGGGGATCCCTGGCATTAGTGCCTAGCCAGCCATTCTCACTCAAGAGAAGGTCCATGATGACCTGGAGATCGGTAGCGTCATCACGCGAGTCGTTGAAAGACGAGAATGGCGTCGAAGTTTATTTTGCCGAAATCCTGAGGCTTCGCTTGGTTGCGGTCCTCTTCACTGAAGTTTCTCCATGGAGAAATGCTGGGGTCCCAGGCGACGATGTCCTTGGGGACGACGACGTTTTTGAATCCGTAGGGCCTCTGCGGCGGCACGTGCCTTGAAACCCTCACCACCAACAACCAATACGGTCTCGTAATATTCCGCCAGTGCCTGCATGGGGGTACGAGATTGGATAAATTGGGTGGTGGAGATGGGAGAGCCTAGGATATTGTATATTTGCTCTACGCGGCCCACCTCTGTCTTGCCACCACCGTTGGTAAGGAGGATATAAGGGATTTTGATTCCGAGCTCATTATCCCCGTTGTGGAGCTCCATCACTCGACGAGACTCAGGGATGATTTGATCGTCGTGGAGAAGTATGTCGAATGCGAACGCCATGTTCTTGGCCGCTTTGACTTGCTCCTTGGCCAATTCCTGAACTTGGGAAGCGAGGATGTCTCTCAGGGCACCAGGCACCAGGAGCACCTGGTCCCAGAGAAGCCCTTGAAGCACGGGGAGATCTGGGAATAAGCAGAAAAGTACCGAAGGAGTTTCGGGATGCCCGTCGATACTTCGTCGAAGGTGTGAGGCTAAGGTTATGCATGAGATGGCCCGCATCGCTGACTGAACTTCTCGATGCAGGTATCTCAACGGCACTGCCGTGGCGAGCATAGGATGGTATGCTGATATCTTTGGGTTGTTTTGTATTGGGTATTTTGCCTTTTGGGGACCTCGTGGGGAGTGAGATCGAGGTCAACTTCAGAAATTCGAGACAATTTTGCAGGTATTAAAGTAAAAGAGAGAATATCAAATCGCAAAATGGTTATTATACTTATAAGACTTGAAAGCAGTTGAATCTAGAATATGTGTAAAAAAAAAAAGGTGGAAAATAGCATAATCGAAACCAAGAAGAATTGGTTCAATATAAACTGGGAATCGTGGCTTTCATACATCCGTACTCAATAATATCGTACGGATACAGGGGGCAACACACATCTTCAAGATCGTGCTCCCAAACTCCTGGCATACCACAAACAAAGTTCACTGAAATCAAGGATGAGATGCAGGCGTCGAATTGGAAGATCCACTACTGGTCTTTTCCTCCCTAATTATTATCGCTCTCCCAGAACAGAAAGAGTATCTTTGTTGTTCGGAGAAAACGCAGATCTGCAGGGTAAATTCCTCGGACATGGCGGAATGAGCAAATGAAATGTCCATCACTGGAGGAAGCCAAAGAGATATCCCTCTTAATCTTTTGAAAAATGGACTAAAAATGAGGAATATAAACCTCGAAATGTTTCTACGATCATTGATCTGCCGTAACTGCACCAATGAGTACACATGGTCGCATAACAGGCCAATTGGTAGAAAGGGGCCAATATGAGATTTCTAAGGCGCCCGCCGCCTCAAATCATTCTGTAACAATCAGAGCAGCTCGGCATGCCAACAGCTTAGCCACAGCAATCACTGGGATCTCCCAAGGTCAGAAGTGGTGCCGATGAAGCGAGCTATAGGAGCCCAGTCCTGCCATCAGTCTCCGCTTCTTCCGGGTCGTAGCGTTGATTAGCGGTGCCATGAAGGGACCATCCCGTGGCACTCAAGGCCTAGTGATGATGCATAAATGTGGAAATGTGAAAATGGGGGGTCCTTGAACACTCCAGTTGGAGAAAACAGTTGTATCAATGCATAACTGATGTCTCTCCAACTTCACAACCTGCGGCAGAGAGCAGATCCTCTCCTTTGCCGAGATCCACCGGCACGTCAATCAGGTCGAAATCCACCCGTTCCTAGCCAACACGGAGCTCATCAACTACTGCTTCAACCACACCGTCCTTCCCGAAGCCTATTCACCCCTCGGCTCGGCTCGCAGATCTTTTTGAAGTCCACAGCTCGCTGTTGTAGGTTTTATTCTCCAAACCAGTGCAAAAACGCGTTCTCTTAGAAACCGAGTTTCCAATTTATTCTCACAATTCTATTTTTCTGCTTAAAGTTCCCTCCCTCGTATATTAATTGTTTCCACCTGAAGGCCAAGATGACGTGGAAATATCTAGGCGTACACAACTGGATAAAAGAATGCTTATTGCTGCTCACAAGACACTATACCCTCTCAATCTCATCCATCAAATCCTCCAGTTTAAATCCATTAACATCACCCTGGTTGAACATCTTCACAAGCTCTGCTCTTTTCCCAGCCTGTGCTCCATCAACTCCCCAATCATAAAACCGTTGCAACCACATGATCAATAACTTCGCCTCATCCATAGTCACACCGCGATCCGATACCACTGCGCCACTCATTAGAACCAGTCCTTTCGTCACTGCAAGGTCCAGATAGTGTGTTATGATCGTATGTGGTTGTGAATATGCTCCGTGTAATTTGTAAGATGCCAGGTGCGTGAAGAGTACAGTAGATGTGTGTGTATTTAGTGTGGTGGTAGTAACAGTGTTTGCGACATTGGGAGTTGAGGTAATAGCGCCGGCGGGAGGATGGAATGCCCATTGCAGGAAATGCATATCTGCCCCTGTACCTGCAGATTGGACAGGGCCCGAAGCAGCCCCACCTTCCACATCATCCGGCCCACTGCCGGCCGCTTTCCTGGGTAGGGGTAAAACAAATTGCGGATTCTGTCGGGCAATGCCGACCATACGCATGTATGTGTCAAGCGGGATGGTAGCACAAACTGACTGAGGGTTAGCCGCATGTCGGAGGCGCCAGACGGTCTCAATTTCCTTGGCGGGGAGTGTGAGGATCTTGGGAATGTTGATGTAGGAGGACAAAGGTTTTATTCCGGGCATTTGGCTTCTTGAAGTAGGGGGGTTGGTAGGAGGGTTTGATGACTGAGAAGTCACCAGGGAACGGCCCGCTGACCCGCCATTGGCAGTCAGTGAAGCACCTGGGATTGGTGGTGTATTGGAGTCAGCTCTTGTTCTGAGGCTTTTGATGTTATCTTGATAGGCATGTCGGAGGGCGGAAATCGAAGAATAACCCTCTCTGTGGCATTAAATTAATGGTGAGCACTTGTTTGTGGAACTGGGAGGGAGCTTCATTGAGGGTGATCAACATCAATTGAAGAATTTGCCATGCATACTTACTCTTTGGCTTTACGGTCAAGCTTGTCCTTGTATCTGTCAAGAACATGGTTTGGATCCTGGTGAGTGGTAAGCAGCCGCACATCACGGACACATGCCCATTGTCGCTGGGCATTTCCAGATGATGGTCTGCAGCTGGTCACAATGCTTCTGACTGCTGGAGTCTGAATCAATGCTATTGAGACTATGTGTGCAGGATGCTGCATCTTGACAGAGTCACAGCTCTCAACAGCCTCCGTGAGAGAAGCGGCAATAACCACCTGTCATAGTAGGTTTAAGTTGTCAAGACTCAGACACAATCAACATACCGAAAAAGCTTTGTGAGTGTGTAAGAGTGAATTGATGATTATATTCTATTTGATAGTGAGAGCTTCTCTGCACTGCACTGCAAAGAAGTTTGTCCGACACATACGGGACTAGTGTGAAAGAGGAAAGAGCTTGCTCTCACACTAACCACTCGGCCATGTAGGCGTATGAAAAAGAGCAATATAATATCCAAATGCAAAATGAATGAAGATACAGAAATATTTGCTAGGCAGCATACAGAATATAGATAATTGACAAAAACCTCCATTGAAAACACCGTGGGAAGGAAGGAATGACGAAGGAAACCTTCTTATAGATTTGTTAGATGAAAATATTCTTCTTCTGGGCTATGTTCATTTGCATTTATGGCGCCAGTGTAGGGCCTTTGTAAATACTTAACATATACCATCTGGCCAGAGGTGCAGCTGTATTCTAGGAATGGTATTATTCTTTAATTGTGTTATAAATGGTGTAATAGTATATATTGATATAATATAACTATATAGTATAAAAATGATATTTGCTGATTAATTTATAATTAGTTAACTATATTTATATAATTTATATAACTAAATGAATATATTAACTATTAGTTAACTGACATAATTTTCAAGTGAGTGAATCACTCAAGTGAGGAGATCACAAAACCATCATATTTCAACTGACTAGATTTTAAATCAAAATTATCTCAACATCACAACATTTAATTAAATTGTTTTAGATCGAACCAGGTGTCCACGACCGGCGAGAGGGTCGCTACGGACCCGACCCTCCATGCCATTGCGAAGGTGGTGGGCCACACGCTTGCTCAAGGGTGTGTACTGCCTGGGGTATACGGAGAGGGTTACGTTGTCTTGCCCAAGTCGTCGAATCCGGGTCGTATTGAGAGAAATTTCCAGGAGATTTAAGTTGACGGATGAGCAGTTTGAGGCGGTGAATAAGGTGGCTGAGCGGAGACATGTGCGGTTTGTTTTGTGAATATGAAGGATACCTTTGGGTATGATGTGTGGGCCTGAAGAGCACAGTGGGGGAGCTTCTGGGTAATGGAGAAGGCTTCGTTAGTGCGGTTTTGATCCAGAATGATTTTGGGCGCGGGTTGTTGAAGCCGGTTTAATTGATATATTTTGTTACTGCTTGAAATCTAATCTGGGTTACGTTATTTTACTATGCGGTAAGGAACTCAATGTTCGGAGCAAGCTTTCATAGGGTTGGAGGTTAGATTTGTCATGCCACTCGAGGGTTGTCGGTGTTTGACATAATAAACTTGCGCACTCTCATAGAATGTATATTCAAAACGAAGAGTAAAAGAACCAAAGTTATCACGAGAGTATACTCTATCAAAACTCACCGAATTAATAACCAATAAACTGGACAACGCCTGAATCAAAGAAATTGACGAAAATAAAACGCCTCAAAATATGGTATCTTCTTTTGTCTATGCTTGGAATGAAAAAAAAAACAAAAACAAATTGCCTACAACAAACACGAAACCTTCACCCCAAATGTAACTAGCGAATTGCATGTACATTTTACACAAACTTATCCTTTACACCCTAGTTCTTCCGGTGTGCCTTGGCAAACACGAGCCATTGAGTTTTTTAGCCGTGGAACGAGTAGTAGTGATAGTGTTGATATTCGGTGCTGCGTTCTCCGAAACCTTAAATGTAATGGTTGTTAGAGATTTCGGAGTAAGCTTTTTTCTCTGAATCGGCGTTCCAGGATGCGTAGAGGCAATTTTTCTAGTCGATTTTATTTTCGTAGCAGCAGCAGCAGAAGTTGTTGCAGTAGCACTCATAGCGGTGGTTGTTAAGACCGAGGTGAAACTGTTACCAGAGGCAGCACCAAGCTTCGACACTTTTCTCGTCACAGTTGGTGATTTCGGTGGCTGAGAGTGGGGGTGGGTCGAGTCAGTTTGCTTGTTGGATTTGCTTTTTCTGCTGCTCTTGCTGGTATTCCTGATGTCCTGTTTCTTGTTACTCTCCTCTTTGGTTGACTGGTAGATGGTAGATTTAGGCGGAGGGCTCTCCTGACGAATTTCCACATTTTGTTCTTCATTATTGTATGTCTTCCCTTCGTACTGGACAAGATTTTTCTCGTCCCATTTTACCGTCTTGACAAGCCGTATCCGTTTCTTGGACGATTTCCTTGGTGAAACAGGGTCGCCAACTTCTCCATTGCTACTGCAAGAATGGACATATTCTTGTGCATTGATCGCTTGAAGTACTAAATGGGGAAGCTGGGCGTCGCCCCTATTACGTCTGGTGTTGGCCTTAGTTGTCAGGGATAGCTGTTGTTCCTCTGAACGTTGTAGAAATACGAACTCGGTCCCGTTAGACCGGCGAACAGGGATATGGTTAGGCACACGAGGTGTATGTCGTTGCGTTCTTGTGATAGTTTTGCGGGTACTCCTGCGCCATGGAGTAGCTACCCTTGGCTGCTGTTGACCTTCTTCGGCCGTCTTACTCTTCTCTTGCCCTTGTTCCTCTTGCTCTGGGCCGCTCTGCTCGGGATCAATAGAGAGGGGGAAGTTGGGAGCGGGCAATGAAAAGGTTACTTTTAGTTGATTTTTTTGTTCACTTGGGGACGAAGGTGAAATTTTATCCAAGACTTTCAGAACCTCGCGTGTTCGTGGGGTTGGAGATTGGACCAGATGCTCGACGCTGGAATCCTCCAATTCCTTGCTCAGCAACGCAGATTTAGCGGCGGATCGCTTGGCTTGTGCTTGGGACAGGAAGTCACTTAAGAATTCCTCGTCGTCACCTTCTAGTCTTGGGAACAGTCGTCTGCTTGGGGGTATTGTCAGCGGTGTTGCTGTTTCTTCGACCGCGTTCTTAATCGTTGTTGTAGTAGATGGCGTATCTTCCATGTCACGTAGCGGGGACGTGGCCCGTGCGACTTGTGCACCAAACGTGACCTCTCCTTGTTCTGGTTCGGGAGATTCTTGGATAGCGGAAGGAATAACTTCTAGGTTCGCAGCATCTTCGGAGACCCCGGAAGCATCTTCAGAGGCTTTGAATGGAAGCAACGTGTCATCAGCAACGGGGCTACCCTCTTCTTCTGCGTCTTTCCTCTGGGCTTGTGGAAGGTTAAGGGTAGAAGGGACCGTATTATCATCCTGGGCAGGTGAAGAATGCAAGCAATGTGTATTTTGGTCTATAGCATTGTTATTTTCGGCACTTTGCTGTCTTTCCACGTCCTCATTCGGTTTGCTATCATCAGCATGGGCGACGATATCCGCATTTGCGAAACTTTCTGATATGCAAATCACCGTCTGTTGGGCATGTTTTCCTGCATTTACGTTAGCATTTTGCTGCTCCAAAGAGCCGACAACCCATAACGACAAAGTAATAACAATGAAAGTAGGCAAATCTCACGTTTGCGGACCCCCATATCTTCTGTTTCCCATTTTGTTTCCAGAAAGGATCGTCCCCGTCCGACTCCCACATGAGTCGCAGTGCACTGTCGTTTGACACCTCGCAAAACACCACGATACGCAAACGAACTGTTGATTTCGGTAAGCAAAGGATCACGGTCGATGTCACCTCCGACAATATCCTTGGATGTAGAAGCCAGAAACCGCTTCCAGACCTTGCGCGACTTAGAACGGGAGTTAAATGGGGTCATGGGCTTGCGATCCCAGTGTCGGGGTGCTCTCTTCGACATTGCGACCGGGGTAAACTTGAAGCCGTCTGTAGACGATGAGAGCCGACTTCCCCTCCTAGATTTATGAAGTGAATAGGGTTGTAAGTCAGTTCTGTGCCTTTTGAGATGGAGGTTAAGGATATGTAAACAATCTGGCAATCTGGCAATCTGGCACGTGTAGAGATTGGTCGTCAAGGCAAAAGAATTTAGAATGTAGATATCATAAACTCAGGTATGATATGACTTATTGCATACCGTTTTGGAGAAAGTGGATAAGAGCATTCCATATCGCAAAACGTGAGAGCGCAACGTAGTTAGCGGCGTGAAAAATTTGAGTGGCGGTTGGATTGGATCCCCTGCTCGTGGTTTCCACAGCTGTCGGTGAGGCGGAATGTGCAGGTGTCGAAAAATGTAGGAGAGAACTTCAAAGATTGACAATACTGATATTGCGCAGGGTAACCAATATAAACATTAAGAGGGGTATGGATAAGAGGATGCTCCGGGGTACCCGGAGCGTCAAATAATGTTATTATTGTGACGTGAAGTTGAGGTTGTCTACGGCGTTTGCAGCGCGCCAATCGCGTGCTGTGAGAGACGCTGAGCTAAGCAGCTGGTTGCTGGGTCAACCACCGCCAGAAAATAAAAAAAAAGGTCGGTTGACTGTGAATGGCACTGGCGAATTCTGGGGTATTGAGAGGATCCATGGATATTGGATTTGGGATTTATTTATGCTGTTAGCAATTTAAACATATTGGCTGCCCTTATTAAATCCATATAGGGCTCAATTAGACTGGTTGACAGAACTGATATGTCACCTCTCTGAACCAGCAGAATTAATGAGCTGTTATGTTAAGTATCCATCAGTGTTGACCTTGCCCTTCTATACAATTCATTGATAACCACAAGTCGGTGAAGAAAATACAACGTTAGCGCTGGCAATGAACTGAATGTTGAAGAATGTGTCCCCTACTCCATAGTCCGGTCATATTTAATCTATGTTTAAATATTGACTCTCCGGGATTTGGGAGCCTCAACGCGGTTTTCCCCCCACCCCATAAGTGATGTCATTATTCGTTGAGGCATTCTGAAAACACGCGAAGTGGTATGAGTGTCTGTACAACATGGATCAAAGAATAGTGCAGGTATAAAAGCTAGTAGGAGACCACTCAAACAATGAACGATCGCAAGCAGTACCGCAATTGACGGAATCACAAAATAAAGAAAAAAGAAGAAGAAAAACATACTTACCATTAGCATGTTATATGGTTTCACGTTATCCATAGCACCTATCCTTCCGCCATATCCTTGTCGTCAAATGGATCTCCAAACTCTTCTATATGACGTACAACCATCAGTATTCCCATAGACGAACACGAAAAGACACGCTCAAGGGCCGAATAGGGGTATTCTCTCACTTAAGCTGAAATCTTGGTCCACCACAAGTTCCATAGCCTTCTGATATTCCTCCTCCGCTTTCTTATTGTTCCACGACGCCCCAGGCTCAGTTTGAGAAATCACAGCGCTCTGATCCTCCCACTTTTCACCACCACCAACACCACCAGAGCCATCACCACCCGGTTGTTGTGAAGATGCCCCTGCTACGTATTTGAGATGTGAATCGTCATATGCCATCTTCGAAGATTCAGCCCCTATGGCGTCCTGCGAACCTGGCGGAGACAGTTCTGAGCCGGGGAAGTTGGCAGAATGACCAAGGGTTGGGAAGGCCGTGGGGGTTTGAGGACTGCTTTGAGAGGACTCAGAAGAGGAGAGCATCTCGGAGTCACCGTCTTGATCTAAAAGGGTCATGTTAGTTGTCATTTGGATTCGAGCTATAACTCGGATAAAAAGCGTCTGGCTGCCAGAGCGGGGCGAGATATCTGTGGGGAAGAGAATCTCGGAATCTGGGAATCAACCTCGCACCTGCGGACATGCTGAATGTGAATTTTCGATCGGCTGAATTAGTATTTGAAACAAGACAAGTAAGAGGAAAGGCAGGATTAATCCGATGGGTCTTCCGTTGCTCGTTGGATGTGATACGAAGCTCACTTTCGCTGCTTCGCTTCGTCTAAACATCACGTGATATAGCCCGATGGCGGTCCGACCGCTCAGACGTTTGCGAAATACCATGGAAAAATATACTTATAGAAATGCGCCTAAAGTTCAGATTGAAAACCAATACGCTAGTGGAATCTCATATCTTTTTTATATCAAATGTACGATTAAGTTGGATGTACAGAGTAAAGAGGTTGGGGATAGCGGCTAATTTAAGCGCACATTAGCCGCATTGTAACTCTAATAAGCGCCCACTCATTTTCCTCGAACGTTTATCCCACACAACCGAAGACTTCCAGCAGCCAACCCTTACGCACAGCAACCAACAACCCATTCATTCTGCATGCTTTGAGCTCCTCACCGGACAATAATATGAATGATCACTTATTATTTCTATTCTCTTAGATCTCGCTTGATCTTTTTAGTTTCTCTGGCCTCAAGTTCGATAGCCAACAGCCCTTCCCGCCATGAGCAGAGCAAATTCCCATATCCCAGATGCCTGGGACGATAACTGGGAAGCTGAGGTTGACGTATGACTCTCTTCTTCCATATTCGCATTTTCTCTCGTCAGCTTATTCTTTTTGTGCAGCACAATGAGCCAACAAAACAACAGTTGAAATCAGGAGAAGCAGGCCCGCCAGCACCACCGCCTGAGAAAAAGCTGTCTTCTCGAGTAATAAAGGCACAGAAAAGAGCGCAACATGCGGAATTTAATCGCCAATTATGGGCTGAAGCGTACGTCTGCCTGTCTTGGAGGCGAAAAATTGAACCCATAGAACAAGGGGCAATCTATATATCGTCTTTTCATGCCAAAAAATGAACTAAAATGCAAGAACCGAGTCACTGAACCTACAGGTTTTAACAGAGAATCCCCACAAGCCTTTCACTACCTCGAATCACGGGCCGCCTCCGTGCCTCTAAAATCGGACTTTAAACCTCCAGTCATGGTCCTAAGCCGCAAACCCCAAACGGCTAAGCAGCTGCAATCGCAATCGCCATCGAACCATCCATCTCCCTCCCCTTCCTCCTCCACTTCCAACCCCCTGGACGCAACAACGGCAAGCATACAGCAATTCTCTATCTCCCGCACTGGGTCACCAGCCACTCGTACAGCCACAATTGCGACACCTCCAGATATTTTAGTAAATGATGACGACGACAATGGTGACGATGATGACGAAGGGGACGAAAGGCCAAAAATGTCGCGGGAGGAATTGCAGGCGCAGCGTGAGCGGGAGCGCGAGGAGAGGCAGCGCAAGTACGAGGAGGTGCGGGAGCGGCTATTTGGGAGTCCCTCGGCGGCGGCGGCTGGGTCGGCTGCCTCGTCTCCTGGGAGCACGAGCACGACGCCACCGCCGTCGCAATCACGACAGGGCTATGGACATGGCCATTGTGCCAGGGGCAAGGGCAAGGGTAATAGGCCGAACGCGAGTAGTAGGGAAGGTAGGGAGAGGAAGGAGATAGCAGGCAACAATAACAAGTCGAATAGACAGTTGTATGATCCTAATTATCCGGGGCGGCCGGGTTCTGGATATGGGCAGAGGGGAGAACGGAGGCAGAACTTCGCAAATAATGTGTATGAGAGCGGGCGGATACCAGAGGTGCAGGAGCTTCAGCAACCACAACAGCAGCAGCAGATACCGGTGAGGACTCCAAAGGGTCCTGATGGGAGTGGAAGAGGTGGTTTTGGATTTAGCCCGCGGGGAGCGAGATCCTCTTGAACATGGACAAATCAAACTTCGCTCAAGTCATCTCGATTGAGTGGTGGTTGCCAATCCAATTACGCCAAAATTCGAATTTAAAAATTCTTGACAGAAGCTGCCGCCCACATCGAAAGAAGAATAAGAAAGAACGGAAAGCTAATCCTACAGTCCAGAACAAAAGCCAGGAAATGTACGCTAGTGCTTGTTCTTGATCTTGGAAATCTAAACATCCAACAGTTGGAGAAGCATTTATCTGATAACTACCACGCCTTGTCCGTGCCATTGCTGCCACCAACATAAAGAATACACCACATCATACCAACCTAAGGCAGCCCGCGCCCGGAATTGATGGCACTTGCCAAAAGTGACGTATTGGGCCGATTTTCTACTCAAATCCAATTAATCAGATCATCAGTCAATCAGTCCTTCGGGACCCAAATCCGACATTGAGAGCGAGAAAATGCACAAAATCAAAGGAGAGTGTGGGGTTTGGGAATTGTCTCAATTACTTACCAGCATACCTCTCATAACTATCCAAATACAGGTCATCCGCGCTCGTCGTGGCCCTGACACGTTCATCAGACTCGATAGCATCCACCCATGCAGCCCAGCGACTCCCTTTCTCAGGATCCGGCCAGCCCCGATACGGTTTCAGCACGCGGCTGAGCCGTAGCATCCAGGGTGCAAATTGGATATCTACAAAGGAGATTGCCGGGCCGAGGAAGAACGGCCCTTGCATGTGCGAGGCATTAACAAGCTTGCTAATCTCTTCCTTCAGCTCTTCTGAGTGCTGGATTTGCTTTTGCAGGTCTTGCTCTTGCAGGAGGCGGTAGAAGGTAGGGATTATGTGGCGGTTTATCTGTGGGAGAAATCATTAGGCCGCGATAGTCCTTTGAGTGTTGGTGCGGTCCAGCTGGGACATGTTAAGAGGCCAGGGTTTTGGATTTTGGATGGGTGTATACTAACGTGATCTGCCCATAAACGGCAATGAGCGCGTAGTTGAGGATCTCTCGACGGGAGTAGAAGATTACCAGTATCAAGGTCGTCGAGCTTCGAAGGGCAAACGAATGACGGTTTAGTAAAAGGGATATTCATCTGTTGAAATAAAGTGCACATATAATGTGAAACGCTGGGGTGAAAAATTGGCAGAAAAAGAACATACATATTCCAGCAAAACTGTACTCTCATAGCATTCCCAGTTCCCATGCCGGATGGCAGGCACCAAACCACGTGGATTCACCTCCAGCAACGAATCGGGCTTCTTGTACGGATCAATCTCGATATACTGGTATGGGATCCCCTTGACCTCCAACGCTATCCAAACACGCTGGACGAACGGACTGGCAAACAACACACACGGAATTAGCTCGAACTTACACATCTCTTTTGCCAGTTTTAAGGTGGATATGATCGGCAGGAAAGTTAACGAAATTATTGAGGGGACTTTAATAAAGTGTCAAAAAGGGATATATTTACCAGAAACAACTTCCAAAGAGCTTCAAATCTGCTTCCTTAGCGTGCTTTTTGACAGTTGTGGCGGCAAGGCCAGAGGCCTTTTTGTGATAGGTTTTCTGGTGGGCCTTTTGATCGTCGGCGTCAGACGTCATGATGATTTTCATTTTGATGGAAGGAAAACGAGAAAGATGAAGGTTTTTTGAAGATGGGAGATGGGTAGACAAACGTAGATATTCGCATGATAAAACGGCGGTGAACAATATGGGAGGGATGTTTTTGGAATCTTTTTGAAAGCAGGATAAAACAATGACGTGCATCACCAACTTGATAGCTTCACAATGCACGCTATAATCTTCTGCATGAAAACTTTGGGGAAGATTCACACATCAAATATCAAAAGTCAACCGACCAGGTCACTTACCATAGTTTTCCTCCTCTCCTTCTCCACCTTAAGCATATGACGCTGCACGCTATTCTTCTTAACCCTGTCGCTTTCCTCCAGTGTATGCCTATGGGGCCCGCCAATGCCATCTGCCCTCCCATTTCCCCCATTCCCATTAACCCTCTGGATTGTATAGTACTTCTCACCCGTATAGCCAGGGTGGCCCTGAGGTAGCGTCTTCCGCAACGTCAGGACGCCAAACTGATAGTGAGGCTCTGCTTGTGGCTGTGGATTATTACTATTGGCAACACGCGCCAGTTCATTCTGGCCAGCAACAACGGGGTCGAGGAAATCGGTACCAGTAGCAACGGCAGCGGCAGCATTTTGCATATTTTGCTCCAAGGAGGACATGGCATCCAGACCCAGCAGGTTCGGAGGCACAGCCAGGGCTCCGGGGAAATACTCTGTAATCTTGATTTTGACGTCGCATAAATCGCGCTCGCGGGCTGTGCGTTTGCGCTTCTTCTTGCTTGGATCACGGGACTTTGGGGTTCCTGGGGGGCGGCCCTTGAGGCGACAGTCCCAGTAGTGCGAGACGAAGAGCTTGCGTTTGTATTTCTGGGTGGAACGGTGGGAATAGACGTTGTCAACATGGGGGAAGTAAGTTTGGAACCTGTATTTTTATGTGTATGAACGTGTTAGCGACTTGATAAGTGGAATTGCTGGTCATGCACTCCGTGATGTACGCGAGGTTTCCGCAACGCACTCTTCTTCGCTCATCACAATTGGATCATCATCCACGTTAAATAATCGCTCCCTCCATCTCTTTAGATCGGGAGGATTTGGTATCAATTTCATATTTTTAAAGTGGCCTTCTCCTCTGTTATGGGCGGAAGCAGGCGAGGGCGATTGGTCTGAGTGATTGGCAGCTTCGATATTAGGCGAGGTGCTGTGGAATTGGTTCAGGAGATGCGCCGGGAGAGGCGTCTGCAGATGCTGCAGCATATCGACCTGGCCATTACTTCTGTGATCGAGAAAACCATTATTATTTGGCGTGTGGAATTGATGCTGGTGATGTGCGGGCGATAACTGTTGTTGGTGCGGCGGTAATGATGGAGGGTTAACAGAGTTGTCGATGAGCCGCTCTGTAAAAGAATGAATTGTTAGACGGATGCATGTGCAAGGGCAACAGAAGGAACTTCTGAAAATTTATGAAGGTTATATTTGCAGTGGTTGTAGCTGCAACTACTGTAACAAGGTATCTGCGTATGTATGCGCGAAAAAGGTGGAGATAAAAAGTGTAGACCTCACCAGCATGCGTAAGGGGGGAATGTTGCAAATGAGTTCCCGCTGCTGTAGTTCCTGTTGTCGTCGCCTGCAGCACTGCAAAGGGCTGGGGTCCGCCCGTGACGGCTGCTGCTGCTGCTGCTGCTTCGAAGTGGGCGCTGATTCTTGAGGTTAAACTGGGATCTGTTGGAAGGGACCGGATGTCTTCGGTGGCGGCGAGACTGCGCAAGCTGTGTTGCAGCTGTGCCTCGGGGTTCTCCATGGCGTGTTCCCCAACCTTCCAGGGAGTTGCTCTGTGCTGCAATAAGGCTGGCCGCGTAGGTTTAGTTGGGGCGCTGGCGCTTGGGGTAATATGATGATATGGATTTAGCTCGGTGCCGCAGAGTGTTGAAGCGGCACGGGATGGTAGAACTAGGGCGGATGTTTAGGGCAGAACGAAGACGAAGACGCCTACAAAAACAACTTCATCTAACAACAGCTAAACTAACAACAACTAAACAAACAGCAACTCCAACAACTGCTCCACATCTCCACAACTCCCCAGCTCCAACGATCCATTTCTATGACAGGCTCCTTTCTTCAAGTGGCCTTTTATTTCAACTTTTACCTCACTACACCTTGCAGGACATGGGTCTTTGATCAATTAGCTCACTGCAAGTGAAAATGGCTTGCGGTAATTACTGAAATGTTCGAACTTCGCCTGCATTGATCAAATCTGGTACTGCGTATGGATATTTATGTGTTTGCTGAGGAGGAAGCCTTCACTTTTTCCTTATTTTGGAGGATCCAACCTTTGTATTCTAGCATTTGTGAGTTCCAGATCATGATGTAGAAGAAACGGCATAGTATGCCGCCCGAACATATCATCCCAATAGATTGCATGCAACAGCAGTCGAACAAGTTCTGGTCATCACTCTGAAGCCTCTACGGATCATGCCATATCCCCCATATTTGTCGAACGGAGGCTCAGAAACAGCTAAAGATGGAAGCCTACTTCAAGGACGGGATAATTATTCCTTACCCACAAACGGTGGGCAGTGGAAGATTACACAGACAAAGTACTCTGCTAGTCTCATTGGCTCCTCTCTTACCGCGGGCCTCACAGCGTTTAAACAGACGACAGCGACGAACATTCTAAATAATCAGATGGATTCTACGAGCAGAGCAACATCCCAGTCAGCAATATCATGGTTGAAATTCCTTCTTATCTCAAGGGAATGCCATCTCCAAAGCACCCCAACAATAAAGGCAATCCTCGACAGCATTGTTCCTCAACAGTGCCTCGAGCTAGCAATTGGATGGGCACAGGAAAGGGCTTGCCTTAGTGCAGATGACCACT